GAGTCTTCTTATAATAAGAGATTAGTATCTGAAATGATTCACATTAAAAGATAGAAACAAGGGCTAAATAAAATGAACGATACTGAATCATTACCTGATTCTTATTCTCAAATTATTCAATCTCTTTCTCCTTCTTAACTGTCTTCCTTCCTTTCTTACTTCTTTTCTTTCCTCTTTCATTTCTCCCTCTATTTTACTTTTCCTACTCTCATGTACCCCTTCTTTTGGTTTACCATTTCAACCTTCTTACAATAGTTTGTCATTTTTCATATTGTCTCTGAACATACTAGAAATATGACTGTTCCACTCTCATCGCATTGTCTGAAATTATAGAATTTTATATTATACTGACACAAGATTTACAAGGTATATATTATCCGTTATTTTAATTGTTACAAAATTTTATTATATATATTTTACTTATTAACTAGATATCATATAATTTTTTATTATTACGACTGAATAATTTGTTTTTTTTTTCTTGTTAAATCTTTGAATACTTTTTTATTGTCAATTTTTAATTTTATTCTTTGTCTCATATATTATATTTTTATACTTTGCGTTTTATTTTATATACTCAATATTATATGTTTAAAATATTTATGTTCTTTTTAACAGATACGAATTATTTTTATTTTACAACTGATAACCAGAAGCATATATTGTTACCTATTACAACGTTCACATAACTTCCAACTTATTCTGAGCGAATTTTATTATATTAACTACTGTGAGTTTTTTATTATATTTTTACTTGCGATCGAGAGCGCGAATTGTAATTTTTTAAAATTTTAACTTTGTAATATTTTTACCGTTTTATTTTTGTATATTTAACATTGATAATGATCCAACAGGGATCGAAACGTTTGTTGTTTATGTTATATTGTTTATTGCCGGCACATTAAAGTTTTATATTCTGACTAAATGACATATTTATACTGTTTTTTTTTTAATTTATATTTCTAACGACTAACTCTTAGGCTCGTAGCCCTTTTTCTCTCAATTTTTTTTTTTAATTTATTGAGTCTTATTACTATTATATTTTAATAAAAATATACAATCGATGCGTTTTTGCATGAAACGAAGGAATCTGGCAGAAAAAAGTGTCGCTCTGCCTCGCGAACCGAAATATTAAGCGTTAAAGCGAATTTATTTTTAAGTAATGAATTTCGTGGCTGTGACAATTTCCTAATCTACATAGTTGTCAACTTTAACGCTTAATATCCCTTACGGAAAAAACTCTTAAAATTTGAGTGTTTACACTTTAATAAACACTGAAAAAATACACTCAAGGTAGCACTCAATTAATGATTATTTTGGACGCTCAACCTGAGTATAACTCTCAACTTGAGTGTTATTGATAACTTGGATGTTGAGTGTTAATCTCAACTTGATAGTTAACTTCAGTGTCAGGATGAAATCACACGTTGCGGAAAATGATTGCGGAACAAAGAATGCGTCATTCAGCGGACTCAACAGTTGAGTGAGTACTCGCTGTTATTGGTATATTCTTCTAGATCTAAAATTTTGATTGGATAAGCTAAAAGAATACACTAATAACAGCGAGCATGGCACTTGCACTCAACTGTTGAGTCCGCTGAATGCGCTCATTGAAACAACCAATTAGCGCTATTCGGAATAACGCAGAATAAAGCTGATTGGTTGCTTTTGTGACATATTTTCTTTTCCACACCGTGTAATTTCACCCTTAGACCCTACGTACAATGGAGGAAATATTATTATAGAGGAATAGAAATATAAATATTAAAATTCAACTTATCAGAAATGTATTCCGGTATGTGGTTATATAACTGGTATCTGATAAGCTGAAATCTTAATATTGAGTCCTATTAGACTATTATTATTGAACTATTATTGAGTCCTATTGAACTATTATTTTAACTATTGCGAAAATTGCAAAATGGTATAGGACTTTTCGACTCAGTTTAGTCCGCTCTATCTACACAAAA